ATGTCAAAAATTTAAAATTATGTAACTGGAAGATTAAAATACGGCTTTTCCTCTTTGTCCAATCAACTGTGCTAAAAGTTTTATAATATATAGGTGATAAGGTCAATTAAGCTGTTCTGTACTTATCATGTTGTTAAACCTTATGACTGATAAAAATATCCAGGTGATGATTGTTGTTATAAATTCTATGTTGCTATGTTACATTATTTTGTATTGAAACCTGATTGGTCATTTTGTTATTTAAGACACAAAAATGTTAAAACTCTATTGGTCAGTTTAAAACGAAATCAATTTTAGAAATATTGTAAAGATGCATGTAGAAAATTTAGGGACAGTTACATTTTGGATTTCCAAGTGATAACATTGTATTGTGGCTTTCCACTAGAAATAATCGTTACTGTTTTAATATCAATTTGTTAACATCAGGATAACCTGTGTATATGTTATATATTATCTGTGGTATTCCACTAAGAAAGGAACATTAAAATATAAAACGGAACATTGTGTTGTGATACAATCCACATTCAGTAGAACCTATAATTTAGCGCATAACACTATTATGTTTTGTTTAGGGGGTGAATTGTCATACACAAATTTACAATTTATATGCATTTATTTTTTTCCAATGATTGTTATTATCTGAAATGCTTCTGGGATTGTTGTTTTATCAATTCATTTGTAAATAAGATTGTTATATGTCTATTAACGGAATAATTTTAATGAACACGAAATTAGTTCACACCTTTATGTGTATTGATAACGTGATGGTTTAAGCCAATGAAAACACATCAATATTATTACAATCAGGCAGAGAAAAATCGATAATCTTTATGTAGCAAACAAACTTTGAATTGCAAGTATTTTTTCATATCTTTTCGGCAGGATAAACTGTCCGAGGAGGGCCAGGCATTTTCGTATCGTAAAATGGCTGCCATTTACAGTATTAAGTGATTATCTGAAGCACCACCGCGACTTAGCGCGGGAATTATAAATATAGCTAACCTCGGCGCGTCGCATAGGATGGAAAATACCTTTTTTCATATTTTATTCTAATAAATATTTACAAACTGTGTCTTTCGGGTTTTTTTATCAATATATAATCAATAATGATGTTAATATGAATAAATAATCATATCCAAAATATGCGACTATGACTTACAATGAAATTCTACTTTTAGTGTATGAAAAAGGTTTTTAATTTCCTGTAATTGTATTCTGTGATTATGCTTCAAAGTAGTCAAATGACCGTGAATTTTCTCTTCATATTTTGATTTCATTGAAATCATTTTTCTCATCTGAAGGCATGCAACTTTAATATATTGATACATTAATTACATTCCATAAAAATGTTTAAAGATATAAAATATCTCATGACATGTTTGTTCATTTTACATTACACCTTTAATGCAACAAACATAAAAAAAGTCTTCACAAAAGTAGTATGCAATCGTACCTATATTACATACGAATGTATGTAATATTTTTCTTGTGTATCTAAGTGATTCAGCTACGTTATTGCTAAGGTATTAATAAATAACAAGGTGCCACTAGTACATGATGGCAATAAAATCGAACTCACAAAATTGTACAAATTATTTGTTTTCAATAATACTACAGTATAGTTCACATTTAAACTATTGTTTGCTTAAGATATATTTGTCCTCCAATTTTTTGTTTGTTTTTATTCAGCTTAGGTAAGAGATACATGATATTTTACCCTTAAGAGAGAAAAAATTACACTTACGAACGGGGACACCTATCGTAAAGTTACGACAGATTTTGCACTTAAGATTTTCTTAAGATTTTTTGTGAAAAGGAAATTTATCGTAAGATTTCTCTTACGATAAAAAATTGTCGTAATACTTTTAGTGAAAATGTCTGCAGGGACCTAAGTTGTCTGGATGGGGTATAAATGTCTAGCATGTTTCGCATGTACGTAGGTGCCTGTCCATGAAGCGCCTTAAACACATATGTAAGGAGTTTGTATTAGACTCTGATGTGCACAGGAAGCCAATGTAGTTCCTTTAAAACTGGGGTTATGTGGCAGTTTTGCGGTGTCCTGGTAATTACACGAGTAGCCATATTTTGAACATTTTGGAGCTTGTTGAGAACGTACTTTGGAGATCCATATAGCAACGAATTACAGTAATCTAATTTTGATGTCACTAACGAGTTTATCAAGGTTCTGGTTGAATCAACAGTCAAATATTTCCGAATTTGACCTATTTGTCGAATTTTCTTGAAGCATGACCGAGAAACTGAGTTCACATGTTGTTCCATGTCTAAATGAGAGTCCAGTACGGCGCCAAGGTTTCTAACTGTTGTTGATGGTTTTTTTTACAGAATCACCGACTCTTACAGTAAGATCTTCAACATCACTTCGTTTTGGTACAAAGACAATCACCTCTGTTTTGTCCGCATTTAGTTTCAGAACAGAAAGTTATTATTCATCCATAGTATGATGACATAAGGGCATGCCTCAATCCGTCGCAAGGTCTCATTGCGTGAAATGGCTTCCTTTGGTTTAAATGCCATGTACAATTGCGAATCGTCAGCGTAGAAATGATGTTGAACTTTATGCTTCCGACAGATCACACTCACAGGTTTGGTATACATGATCGTGTATCGATTAAATTACCGCTAGACATGTAACAAAAGTGCAAGTTATGTTCTTGGTTTCTTAACTGAAAAGTTAAAAACGTCCGGGGGTTTTATTGATGCAAAATTATATGAATGTGTGAACTTGTTATAATACATGTATATGGAGATTCAACTCTATTCTATAGTAAATAGTTTACACAACAGAGGCACAGGAAACGCTGCTATATTATGGTTAAACAGGTTGGGATATAATGACTGTTGAACAATGGAAAGCAGCGGGTAATCACTCATATAGAATATGGTAAAAACCCTCTATTTAGACCACCATTGGGACGGGACCAAACTGGTCTTAATTGCGGGATGGTCTCAGTTGTGTATATTATTATCATTGCTTATATGATATAACACATTTTTTGTCCTTGGTCTATTTTAGTCATTTTGTACGAACAATCCGTATGTATCTTAACCTTAAAACAATATAAAAGTATATCCTAATATTTAATCTGAAGTAAAATACTGTAATATTCAAATTTAAAATCTCATTGGTTTGTTTCTGTATAATATGATGTACATATTTCACCTTTCAAGTAACAAATTAATTTTTCACAAAATAAATATGAAGAAAACAACATTGAAGAACTCTAAAATTTATTTTCTGAGTTTGTTTAAGAAAAAAGCTGGAATAAACAACTTTTTCACAGAGACTATTTATTTGTTAGCATAACATACATAACAATAGATGAATAATGTATTTAGATTATCCAAAGATTTCGGCTGATGTGCAACGCCCCTCGTGTAGCGCATACGTAACAAATGTGTTGGTTGCTGAAGAAATGATATTTAAAATGAAAATATAGTGAAAATATACACAATATAATTACAACGTTTCTTCAACACTATTATTAATCTAAAACACCCGAAAAATACGGGAAATAAAGCATTCAAAGTTAACTTGATTCTCCAAAAGCATAGTGTACCTACATTTTTGCACGGAAATTGCACGTTCGTAATTATGCCCAATTAATATGATCATATTATATATCATACAGTCGAAACAAAACGTTTAACGAATTTAGATAGGCCTTCTTTGAGCGATCGGCGAACTTCATGCTCGTTAATATGATAAAGACGGTTTGAGTTAAAGCAAATATGATAAAAAATTTAAAACAAAACTATTTGTGACTAGATTTTCAAAGTCCTTTGAGAATTTAAGTAAAGTATTTCATATTGAATCGCAGTCATAAAATGTTGTTTTCGTTTTTAACCACAAAAAGTATTATGAATATCTGAAAGTAAATGGAAAAAAGAACAAGTTACAATCTTACAGCAACTAAGAAATCTTAACTATTCTGTAAAAACTGTAATTGTGAGATCTAAGTATTAGCAGCTAATTAACTAATACATCTAATTTTCATCTTCAAAAGGACAGATGAAAAAAATGTATTATCATCAAGGTACAATATAACAAGACTACTTAAATGCCTAACAATCCAATAACTCATAGATCTTCTAAAAACTCTTTTATCCTTAACATCAGTCGTCATGAAAGTGTCATATTACCCAATCGATGTTCCTTAGACAAAAACAACGCCTTTTTCACTCCAGCAACAAAATAAAATACAATGTATATAAAATATAACAACGTGTTGTGAGGTAACTATGTGTAGAATTTAAACAGTTGTCAGTACAGTATACTTACAAAGATGGTGTGTTGCCAAAAGGTAATTACATAATCCACATTCGTTAGAGAAAGTTCTGCCGTCCATAGCACATATGGGGCGATAATCTTTAGGACAGCCCTGCATGTGTGGATACATGTTGCCTCCCTCTATGGCCAAATCAGAGTTGGACATTATATACTTTGAACAATTTACCTAGAAACAATCCAAATAACACTTCAGTTATTTAAAAGAATGGGGGAACTGGTATTTGAAATATTTAAGTGTTAATTCATGTACATACATATGTTTAATTATGTAACATTTTGAAGTAAACATTTTTATCTTTAATGACAGTATAAACGTTAAGTTAAGAGCTTGGAGATGAAAAGCATGTATCTGTTGAACAAAGAGTTATATTCTATCATAACTTTTCCCCAGCGTCTTTCAAATATTAAAGATTATAAATCATTTGAAAACAGAAATGTGAAAACTTATTTATTGACGTAAATTACATCATTGTGTGTAATCTCAATAACCATGAAATATTTTTTTTATCAAATCAGAAAATGAAATATAAAGAGTAAATGATAAATGACCATGACTAAGTTTGATGGATCAATTTTACATTCGCCAGTGTGTGCTACAGTCAGTGGGTCATACTTTATTTGTTCGTGTTGACACTGAGCTGCACGGAATTCACATGTACTATCTAAAATACGAATAGAAACATATTTTATTGTATGCGTATATTTATATTTTATACCATGTTAAAAGGTTATGTTTTCAATGGGCCAAAATGTTGATTTTTATATGTTAATAAGATTCATTCCACGTGAACATTCCTTTTCCTTTTCTCATTATTTAGTTTTCTGGTCTTGTTTATTTTTTCTAGGAATGCTAGTGACAAAATATTTTAAACCTTTGGACATGAACAGGGAAAATAACAATTCCTCTCGTTGTAAATCGATTGGCAAGAGTTAGCACCCTTGATAGATATCTTGCAGTATATTAAAACTCACATATATTTGATAACTTTATACTTTCATGTGCAACTACATCAGTAAGACAGTTTAACTTTGTATCAACATTTGTAAATCTAAACTTACCATACGTTCTATTATTTGAGCCACAAATTGCTTCAAATCCATCGCTAGTCCCAGTGATGGCAGAGATTTGATGAGGTATACATTTTGCTTGCATCACAACATCACATGGTGTATCTAATGTAACGCATGCGCCGAAGCTTACCATACTCAGAAGATCGCCACCTTTTATTGCCTTACACTGGGCATTTCTGTACTCACATTCTGATTCTAAATTTAAAAAAAATAGAGTTTAAATATTTTTTTTTTTCAAAATTAAACATTCTTTATTTAAGCTATGTTAGGCCACATGTGTCACAAATCACATTCGTCACAAGTTTTTATGAATTTGTGACGAATGTGATCACATTCGTCACAAATGACTTTTGTGACGAATGTGATTGACCAAAATCGGGTAAAAATGCCAATCACAAACGTCACAAGCAAAATTGAGAATTTTTAAACAGGCGAATCACAAATGTCACAAGTTTATTTTTCAATATGTGATACACGGAATATCATAAGGACAATCGTGGTTATATCAGTGCGATAGTACAAGGGCGACAATGCAATAAATCGATATTGTGATGTCGACATCACGATACCAATATCTTTTCACCACCATTGCATTATCGCCATCGTACTAACTTGTTGCAATATCGTATCGTCGGCATTGTATTGTCTTCATAGAACTGTCGCATTGTCGTAATGGTATTGCTATCAAGTCGTCTTACGTTCTCGAAACCTTCAAAAAAATTTGGTGACAATGCACGGCATAGTATCAGACTTCAACTGGAAGTGATCTTTTACCTCTGTGAACCCTCAAATTTCTTCCCACCATACAGCGACAGTCTAAAGGAATCTCACAGACTTAATCTTAGTTTCAGTACAAATTATGACCATATTTACACCAATGAGACCATATATGATTGTTTGGGAAGTAGCTGAGACCCCCGTTGACTTTCAGGATATCTAATTAGAGATTAGGACCTTTTGACATCAATGAACCTTTTTTGGTCTGACAGACTTTTGACTTCCGCAGACTTTCAGGAATCTTGGTTCAATTAAAGAGTATGACATTTTGACATCTAGGAACCTTCTTTCCTGAGACGATTTTGCAAGTCTGTGCCAATTGCTTGCAGACGCTCCTTGGAACTTTCCATATCTATTCCACTAGTAATAATAATATACTTAATTCGTTTAAACAGATCGTGTCTTTGTGGCGGGGCCGCTTTATCGTTTCGACGCGTCTTAGCTTTTTTCGCCTTTTATGATTAGATAGTTTCAAACGACGGTGTTTAGTGAATTTTATAGAGGATATTTGTTTGTTTTGAGTGAATATGAAATATATTTCACTGAGAAGTGAGAAAAAAAATGAAATATGTATCACGAGCGCGTAGCGCGAGTGAAAATATGAACATTTTCTCACTTCGATGTGAGATATAGTTCATATTCACGAAAAGCAAACACATTTTCTTTTTATTTTATGTGCCTTTTGAAAAGTGCTTTTAGACCGTTTACTACTGAAGCGCGGAGACTACGCGCGCGTAAACAATATGACGGCAAACGTTAACGCTGCAAGCAAAATAATCCTTATTTATTTATATTTCTTTTTGCGGTCTCATTGTCAACAATCTTACAAAATTACGGACATTTGAATCGAGAAATATGTCATTTAGAATGAAATTAAACAGTTATTTTTAATGCATGTTTAGGGAATCCAGACTTATAAATACGTACGCAGAGTGGGCGTGGCTTATATCACCCAAATCTATATCACCACACTGTGACTGATATAATATGAATATATTTCATTGATAGAACAGTATTTCATTAGTTAGCATCAAATAAATATAGGATATTACATGAGTGTCTTTTCATATTGAATTTATTAAACGAGTTTGATAAAATAATAAATTGCGAGGCTCTGCCGAGCATTTTATTATTTTATTCAACGAGTTTAATAAATTCAATGTTAAAAGACACGAATGTAATATTCTTTTTATCACAGGTAAACTTTTGCCGCCGAAAAAGCGAAAACTTGTCGTTATTTTCCCTTATAAGCGCGGTAAAATTAAGCAACGTCCGCTAACGTAGATAGATATTTTATTTCCTTCAGTATACATGAAGAGCACGTCAAAACGATATTACACCAGTGTAATATGGAAAATATGTAATGGCTTTATTCCACTCCCGCGACTTCAAACGTGATAAATAATTATTTTGTAGTTAAATGCTGAAAAGTGTTGTGTAATACAGAATGTTGTTGCGCGACTGTATAGTACAGAACGTTATTAAACATATCAAGTAGGATAGCATGTAAGTTGTAATGTAATGTAATATTATCGTGTAGCAATTCAAAATATTGAAAAGGACGCATAATCAAACATTACGAATTGTGTTATATGTCCACACGGTTTCAATAAAACACTTTGTTGCTGATTTACGCCGTGTCTTTTTTGTTTCGTTTCTTCGCCGCGAAGATTAGAAAAAAACGAAAAACCGAAGACACGACAAATCCACAGTTTGTCGTATCTTCGCTTCTTTTTTTTCTATTTCTTGCAGCGAAGAAATGAAATACGTCAGAATAAATGCGACAATACAGAGATAAAATGTGCCGTGTTTCCGCCCTAAATCTGTCGTATCTTTGATGTTTCGTTGTCCTTGCCAGGGGCAATAAGTCTGTTTTTAAAAAGAAATGGAGATATGCTGGTTATATGTGCAACTGGTTTGTGAATGAAGGTTCCTACAAAGTTGCAGCATCGATATCCATCCAGAAGTTGCTGAAAAATAGCGTGGAAACGAAATGATTCCATATACAGTGTATAATAACTAATCAATGGCCGGATAGTGCGGAAACTAAATCTGGACTGACAGGCGGACGAACACGCTAAAACAGTCCCATCACTCCCGATTTCATCAGCGGGGGAGGGGATAAAAATGTCTGTAGTTTTAGTTCCAATAATTGATTTCAGTCCTAAAAATTTGTGACGTTTGTGACTCAGTGAAAAGCATTGAAGAAAACAATATTTATCTCAAATTTGTGACATTTGTGATTTTAAACTCGTGACGAATGTGATTGTCTAAAACATTGGATCACATGCATCACAAAATTTGTGACGAATGTGATCTCATTCTTCACAATTGTGACGAATGTGATTTGTGACACATGTGGCCTTACAAAGCTATTATAGCCGCCTAGTTTGATCCGAAATTAAAGTCGTATCTCAGTTGTGCTTATCAAATTTAAAAGTAATTGACGAAAATGAATCAGTCGAGTCTGTTTTGCTTCGTATTCTGTTTATTACTATGATTTAACATGTAGCCAACAAAGATATCCCGTTACTGTAATATAAAAATCGAATTTACTTTATATATTCTACAAAATATTCGTCTACTTTATAAATGTTCAATACGTACTGTACAATATGCCGTTAGTTGCACAAGCTGATGTTGCAGCGGCGTGAGTTTCTTCGTTACAAATGACGTCACAATGTTGACCATAGTAAGGGGATACAGGACCACCGCCTCCTGGAATCAGAACTTGCCGGATATTGCCAGTTGCGATGCCCAAGCAGGAAAGTATACCTGTTGAACGAAATGATGATGAGTCATACGCATGTTTATGTAAGATAAATTAAAATTTAGGAAAGCAAAATAAAGGGCAATAATGGCCGTGTGGTAAATATATGCATGATTCAGATAAAAGCCCATTAAGCCTGAAAAATGCTTTTCATTTTGGATGTTTTGTTACAGTTCGCAAAGTTTTACTTATTGGCAATATAGCTGAACCATCTTTTGCTTCTTTTGCGTTTTGGCAATGCGTAGAGTATTTTGTATGGAAGTTAAAATACAACTTTGTTAACATTTTGTTACCTTTATCAGAAAAAATTTAACGTCTAACACTGTTTACTTCAGGTAATAAGCATCTAAAATGCTCTAAATTACAACATTATAAAACCCATCTTTGATCTGTCTACAAGAAAAATCTTTTTCAGAGGCTTTAAAATGTCTTGATAATCCTTTGCTTTATCAATGTCGGGGCGTCTGTGGCCGAGTTGTTCAAGTCGTTGACTTCAAACCACTTGCCCCTCACCGCTGTGGGTTCGAATCCCGACAGGGACTTTGGATTCTTTCATGTGATGAAGCTAGCTTACGGAACGTCGGTGGTTCTACTTAGGTGCCCGTTCGTGCCTGAAATAATGAACGTAAGGGCACTTGAGCTCTTCCTCCAACAGTAAAGCTAGAACGTCGCCATATGACCTGGTGTGACGTAAAACCCAAACAAACAAACTTCATCAATGTCAATGAATGACTTAAAAAACGGCAAGACAACTTATGACCAATTCAATGTGGAAAAAGCTACTTACAAAGAAAGAAATAATCCATTTTACAAGAATAAAAAACAGCCTTTTAATTAAAGGGCGACTTAAGTTACTGATAATTTGGTCAGCTGTGGGCGAAAAGTTGACCACTACATATGTAATATCTTATAAATGATCTAAAAATAGAGTTAAAGATATACTTATCTTTCTGTTGAACACGTTTGCCCCGTTGTCTATTTGGGATTGTTTTATCTTGTGATCTACTATTTTGTAAAGTTCATTTAGATAGAAAATACACTGACATACACTGTCCTGCTTTTCGCCCAATGTTTTAATGATCATATGTAAGTTCTTACATATTTCTTACAGTTTCAGTCAACAAATAAAAAAGAACGCTGAAGACAAAAACAGTGTTCAATAAACATGATATTTACTTCTAATTGAAATAAATGCTGACAAGAACTTTAAACATAACCATTTGTACATAACTGCACGGTCTTAGAAGAAGAAAAATAACATAAATGTATCTGTGACTAGTTAAGTTGTTAGTTTAATGCGTATTAAATTTTGATTTACTTGCTAGGTCACTAAAATTAAACGTTACAGTCACGAGACATTTGCGTTGTTGTTAGACATCTTCTTTTAATGCATGTACTGTAGTTATTTGAAAGGCAAAATATTCTTGAATTATCAGCTTTCAGATGACATTGAGTTTTATAAAATATTTTCTTCCCGTTTATTCATTTTTAAACGTTTGAACATTCAATATACACTATACCAATTGTTTATAACATGATCATGTATTTTGTATTTGACAGGATCAGTAGATTTACATTTAACTAGACACATAAGGTAATATATAATGCTTATTCTGATATTTGAAACAAAAGAATTAATAAACAAAAAAGGCTAGTATATAAATAAGTCTTTTAATGAAGTACACAATATATTGAACATATTTTTCGGTTAGCCAAATATTTCATCGCTTGTACAGCTACCGTCATGGAGTGCATACGTTACGAAATCATTCTTTGCTGAAAATGGAAAAAAGAGTAATCTGATAATTTACTGTAAAGTGTTACATGATTGTTATGATAAAAATTCACATTTTTCTGCTTCTTTATGGAGATAGGGCAGATGAAATGTAGCAGGAAATTAATCAAAGCAAAGAAGGCGCTGAATTTGTTTGGGTCTCAGAATGTCAGAAAGGTGAAGGTTGTGAGATTATAAACCAATTTGTTTTTGTATAGTGCCGCCAATGCTGTTTCCAGTGTTTTAACAGTAGTAAATTGGCTATAAGACTAATTGCAACACTGTTATTCAATTCAATGTTCATTTGACTTAAACAATTTAAAAAAAATGAGTTGCCTTAACTGGGATTTGAACTACAGACCTCTTGCTTCCTAAGCACTCGACCACGATGAAGTTATGTGAAAATGGCAAGAAGAAAACCACATTATTCTAAATTAGGGTTTGTAACCCATATTATTTCAAAACAGATATAAATAATCATGGAGCTTACTATAAGCATGTATATCTATAAAGAATAAAACAATATTAGAAATCTTCGACCATTCGGAAACTATTTTGATTCCGGTCATTTGACAATCTTTACGCAGTGATCTCCCCTGAATTTTTCGGCGTTAGTGTACATAATATCACTTATAAGATACCGTACATTGTTATAAAAATATATACATACGTAGAAGATGTGTAGCTAACAAGTAGTTACAGAATGTGCATTCATTTGAGAATGTCCTGTGTTCCTTTGAACAGATAGGTTGGTAATTTCTAGGACAAGCTACGCCATGTGGATACGTATTTGCACTTCCTTCTATTGCCAGACCAGTGTTTATCAGTATGTACTTTGAACAATTAACCTATACAATTTGGAAATAATGGTATTTCTTTCATTTTGTGTCATGGAGTTAAGAACAAAAATATACACTAAAAAATAGAGACATTACAGTATCAAAGATAACAAGAACCCAAAGAAAATTCTTTCAAAGCTATAATAATAACCGTAAGAGTTAAATATACACCAACACAAATCATTCTTGTGGTGGGTTTTTTTTTTGTTTTTTTTTTTTAACAATGATTTTATTTTATTTAAAAACAACATATGCGATATTCTTTGAAGAAAATAATTGTCAACTGTTAATAGATTTACTCTAACCATGTAAAGTTGGGATAAGTCAATCTGACATTCGCCATCATGGGCAAGAGTCAACGTTTCCACAGAATGTACTCCTTGTATCAGCTCATTGTGACACTGTGCTGAACGGAACTCGCATACACTTCCTGTAATACAAATCCATTGAACATAAAATAATAAGAACATAAAATAATGAAATCTTTGAGTTTTGATAGAATCGGTACGATATAATATATTTTGTGGTAAAAGTGATATGACGAGAGCTGATGAGAGAGTTGAACGACAAAACATCTTATGTCCTTGGTTGTAGATGACTGTCCCAAACTCTCGTGAGATGTTTGTTACGAAAGAATAAATTAAAATTGTTTTGTGACATCAAAGTAAATTTATTGTTAATTAAAAAAATTTACAAGATAGAAGTTTGAACTGGTAGAAAATATCGTATTTTTTCCATATTTTAGAAATTCTTTCACACGAGGATAATACAATGATGCAAAGATGTTTTCCTGATTGGAAATCTAACAAAATTGATTCACAAATAAAATTTCAATTTGACATCATTTGGCGGAAATGCTAATTTATTTGTTGACATGCGCCTTAAGTAATGTCGTTATACTTAGCATCATATTTTGCCTAATAATTCGTTCAAATATGTGTATTCCTTCTTCTGAAATAATTTTGTATTTATTGCAAAATTTCTTTAATTGTTAAACCGATAAAGAAAGCAAAGTGAATACAAGGTATGGTTGTTTTGATTGATATTTTTATAAACAGTTACCATAGGTTTTGTTATTTGAACCACAAACGGGTTCAGCTCCATTGTTATTTCCACTCAATTGAGAGATATGGTGAGTTAAACAAGTCGTCTGCCTCATTACGTCACATGTCGTATCTAATGTGACGCATTCACCGTAGTTTGTTATAGTGAGAAGGTCACCAGTTTTCAAGGCTTTACATTGAGCATTTCTATACTCACATTGTGAACCTAATAAAAAGTAGAGAGAATTATATTGTTTATCTCTTTAACTACCAATGTTTTTTGTCCTAACATTGAATGAAAGTGTGACTCTTCAGTGTTAAGTACATTATATTTTACTTAAGAGTTTTGTAATATGGATATATTGAATTGTTTTAGAAATTAAGCATAAATCCTTTAATTGCAATCGACTTACTGTATAATTTGCCATCTGTAGCACACAATGACGTCGAGGAATGTGTTTCCTCGTTACAAATGACGTCACAATGTTGATCATAGTAAGGTGATACAAGCCCTCCTCCTGGAAACAATTGCCGAATATTTCCGCTAGCGATACTCAAACCCACAAGTATACCTGCATATTTTAAAATGGAAGTATTACAAGTAAGTTTTGTAACCTGTCTTTTTTAATACCTTTATTATTTCATTAGCCATTTCTTGTAATAAATTAAAGAGTGTCCATATACTTAGATAAGACAATAATTATTGTATGTGTATGTTGTTCCAGCTAAGGTCTTAACTCATTGTAACACCTAGCACTTATTATTTTCAGTTTGTTTATATACGTCACCAATGAGTTGCTAGGGGGGGGGGGGGGCGTGGACGGTAACTTGCACTTTCCAGTACCGTCCATGAACAGGCTCAATGCAACATTTTCAATATTGTCGTGTTGGGCCATCTTTAGGGATTCTGTTTTACTCTATTTTGTAGATTCTTATAATTTCAAATTTATCTGTATTAAAATCCAACGACAAGATAACTTCCCATTTCTCTAGAATAGTGGAAATAGTTTGAAGATTACACAGTCCCTCATTGATTCAATTGTAAGATAAACAATGGTATTATCTGCAAATAATCTGGCATGACTTTTAATCGAGTCCAGTGAGTCATTGATGTAAAAATAGAAATAGACGTGGACCAAGTAAAGAGCCATTTGGGACTTGGATAGAATTTGAGTTTTGATCTTCAACAACATCAGTCAAGAAAAGATTGTTTTCAGCATGAAGCACGTTTGTTAATACCAAGTTTTATGCTTTTTTATTAAGAAACGTTATCAAGTGCTTTGCTGAAATTCATTAAGATTCTAGCATCAAATATTTCTTGTGTGAATAATAGTAGTTGGAGTTCACAACTATGTATTACACGGAAGCCATTTTATCAAAGTAGGCCATTATGTTTGAAACCTCCGTCATTTTTATATAAGACATGTAATTGAGATAAGGCGATAATTGCTAGCTTTAAATGTATGCCCTTTTTATAAACAAGTGTAACAGTAGCTCTTTTCCAGTCATCTAGAACGATACCAGTATATAAATAACACATGCGTTTGTTGGTAAGGGATTATATTTTTACTGTTACTCTCATACTCTTGTTATTTATTCTATTACCCCAGACAACAACTGTGATGATTTTTATGATTATTTTATTTTCTTTTCTTAAGAAATAGAGCATGTGACCAGATTCTATACTGTTAAAAATACTGTTACTCTGTAACAGTACAAATTTCTTAGTCACGTGGTAGACTTGCATTAAAATTATTAATAACTCCCAGTGACCTATGGCAAATTAACATTACACAAAAAGTGTGGTGTAATAATATGTAATGATGCTTTAAAATGTTAGTGAAGAAAGGAGCAATCTGACAGTTGAGGGTTGAGTGTTTTTGGCCCTTATGCCTTATGGTTTAGATATTCTACTTCCTTATATGTGCAAATTATTTAATAAGATATTTATTTCTGGGATATTCCCTGAAAAATGGTGTCATTGTGTAATTATACCTGTTCATAAAAAAGGTAATTTGTTAAACCCTAATAATTATCGAGGAATATCCTTAATTGATGTCATAAGCAGAGTATATATTAATATTATTACCAACAGAATTACTTTTTACATTGAGGCATATGGAAAACTTTCAGACTGTCAGGCAGGTTTTAGGAAAAACTATTGCACTACTGACAATGCTTTTATACTATACTCTATTGTATCTAAATATCTCCAACAGAAACGAAAGCCAGTTTATGTAGCTTTCATCGATTTTCAGAAAGCCTTTGATTCTATAGATCGGA